CAAGCAGTCCAGACCAGCAGGACATAAAGGTGGCTTAAATCCAACTTAGTGCCTCCCTCCCACTGGGCTGTGAGTGCCACTGACTTCAGTGGGGCCAGGATTTCAGCCTCAGCGATTTGCCCAAGCCCAAGCTCAGGAAGTCTGTGACAAAGCTGGGAATTGAACCTAGATCTCCTGAGTCCACTTTTAATTTCCTACCACCACCACCAGTCTTCCTCTGAACAAACACATTTGAAATGTTTTAAATTCTGGATCTGAATTTTTCAGCTTCCGTGTAACTTTTTATTTTATTGGTGACTTCTTAGCCATGCATTAAATAAAGTAAATGAAAGAGTTCTCCTATAATTTCTCTTAAAACACACCCAAGAATGACAGCTGTGAATATGCAGGGAAAGCAAATAGAGGAATTTTGCTAAAACAACTAGCTTCCTTTAGATAAAATCTCTTTCTACTGACATGTATGGGCACATATTTTGAAGGAGAACAAGAATATTTTGCTGAGATCAGAACAGTAGTTTTATGGTAAGTTAACTCTCCTTTGGAGAAGGGAGCAAAGCATGCCTCCTTGACAGGCCGTGACTTAGTGTGAAAGGTAGGAACAGGCGCCAGCTGTAAAAATGGGCTTCTCTCGACTGTTGTCACCACTCCCTCCTCTCCTCTGCAGCAAAACTGACAAGACAAAGAAAGAGACATAGAAAAGGGGCTTTTGTTTTTGTCTCACAGTGCACACTTATATTAAGTATAATCCTTCTCACAAATGTAAATGAAAATACCAATAAGCTAGATTGTACCCTAAACACCTTCTTACGGAGGGGGTCCTACATACGCATATCTCCCTCTTCCCAGAGGAAAGACAGGTGGGGGAGTCAGCATTCATTAGAGCTGTCCCACAAGTATTTTCCTGTCCCACAAGTATTTTCAAGAGTTGAAAAATGTTTCCTGTCTCGAATCAGGACAAAAATGTGAAATCTCAAAAATATTAGTGACCTGAGAAAACAATATGTGTTGTCTTGTTTCAGGTCGATTGAAATCTTTCCTTTCCATAATTTCAAAACTTTTAGTTTTGATTTCATTTCAACCTTTTTGTTTCAGTCTTCTTAGCTTAAATTTCTACACAAAACTGGAATTTTTCATTCTGAAAATGTTGTTGAGCCATTTTGACACTTTCAAAAACTTGTCCTCAGCATTTTTTTGAGTCAGGAAATTTGTCAAACCCAACACTTTCGGTTTACACGAACACTTTCGGTTTTGATGAATTGCCATTTTTCAGTGGATAAAATTATTAGACTGCTTTACTGTCCAGGAGTTCAGGGATCTGCAAGTTAGATAGGGGGGAAAGGGTGTGGTGGGTGTGATCCTGCTGAGACAAACACAATCACTGCAGGAAGAATGTTAACAGCCAAAGACAGTATTAGCTCCATCTTTCCTGAGAAGCCCTTATCTGCACTGGTGAACCAGGGGGAGGTGGGACTGGGTCATAGAGGCAGCTGCTGCTTGGGAAATCACATTTCAGTTGGAATCATAACAGTATGACTCCAATGATATTCTGTTTGCAGGGTGCTAGGGCAGAGATGCAGGGGGTTGAAGATCAATGTGGAGGTGCAGGGACTTCAGGAGGATGGCACTATGGCCCTGGAGGATACCCAGGATCCATGCAGATCTAGACTCCTGGTTTCTTCCATGGGATGAGGTGGTGAAGCCAAGCCCTTCTAATGGGAGAATGCAGAAAAAAACCCACAAGAAAGCGGGCCTACAGAGTTGTTTGCACATAGGGGTACGATGTGGCCCAGTAATATTAAGCAGAATCTTATAAAGCAGAATGTATTAGATTAAGGGTTAGGAGAAAAATCTGTAAAGCATTTACACTAACACTCATAACTGAAAGATTCTGATGTAAAGCAAGAAAGCCTACACATAAACTCTCCCCTCCACCCCAGACATTATGTGAATTTATACCTTCCCCCCTTTAAAATTAAATGGGAGGAAGGATGCTGATGTGAGTAAGGCTTAGGATCATAAATCTGAAGGTCAGGAGTCTTAGCTCTTTGCCCCAGATTCCCTGTGTGATCCTGGGCCAGTCATTTCATCTCTGTCTGTGCCTTGGCTTACTTCTTCTGTAAAATGGACTATGTTAGAAAAAGTACTGCTCACCATGAGCAAGTGTGGCAGAATCTAGCCATTAATGGTTTGTCTGTCCGGCCACACACCACTTTTCTTCATCACTCCCTCCAGTACCACATAACAAAATACAGAATTAACAAATACCATAATATTCCTCATAATTTTTCCTCAATCAATTTTGTTTATCCAAGAGAAGTTTCGGAGGTGACTTGATCACAGTCTTCTCAGTACCTACACAGGAAGAACATTTCTGATTGTACTCTTTATTCTAGCAGACAAGGCCATAACAAGGCATAACAAGATCTAATGGAAGCTAAAGTTAGACAAATTCAGGCTAGAAATAAGGCACAAATTGTTTCCAGAGAGGGTAAACCACCACTGGAACAACTTACCTAGGGATGTGGCAGACTTATCACCAGAAATCTTTAAATCAAGACTGGATGTCTTTCTAAAAGATACACTGTAGCTCAACCAGAAGTTATGGTGCAGGAAATACTTGTTGAAATTCTATAGCCTGTGTTATGCAGGAGGTTAGACTAGGTCATAACAGTCCCTTCTGGATTTAAAATCTGTTAATCAAATAGGCTTTACCCCTAGATACAAATTGACTTTGACAGAACTACTCATGTGCTTAAGTTAAGCATCTGGTTTAGTGCTTTACTGGGTAAGAGCCTTAGTAAATATCAAACAACAAAATGAGGGCACAAGATGAGTAATTTTTGCTCTAGACTCCATTTGACCAAGTGGTGCCCTGTGTTGCATTGTGTCCAACTTTAAAGTCTTAGGGCTTTTCTATACTTACGGCTAAATTGGCCCTGCTGCGATCGATGTAGCAGTGTTGATTTAGTGAGTCTGGTGAAGACCCGCTAAGTAGATGGCAGAGCGCTCTCCCATCAACATCTGTACTCCAGCTACCCGAGAAGCATAAGGTAAGTCGGCAGGAGAGACACTGAAGTAGCATAACTTAAGTCAACTTACATCTTTAGGGTAGATCAGCCCTTAATGAGTAACTTGGCCAGGACTTCCAAGAGCGGGAGAAAAGCAGAGTCTGTAGGCTGAACTTTATAACATTATTGATAGCAGTGAATTGATGCTAAATAAAACTGAACTATTAAAAATTAAATCTGAGCAGACAATGTTAGAATCCTTGGTCTCCCCAATAGTGGAGGAGACAACCTAGTGACTTTCCTAGAAGAATGCAACTTCCTCCACTCAAGTGGTGCAAAGCTGAAGCTTCCAGTTGTTTTTCAAGGGTAGCCCAAAGTCAAGCATATTGCAGTAATACAGCGTTAAGAACATAAGAAAGGCCATAGTGGGTCAGACCATGATCCCTGTAAACTGTCCCTGGCTTCCTGTATCCTGTCCGGTATCCTGTTTCCTGAAGTGGTCCATACCAGAACTTCCAGGGGAGTGTACAGCACAGGGCAATTATGGAATAATCAACCCCATCTTCCACTCCCAGCTTCTGGTAGTTGGAGGTTACAAAGGTGTGGAATACTGTGGCATGATAGAGGAAGAGCCAAAAACCCCTGGGCCAGCCCTAAATGAAAAAAAATTACTAAATGCCACGACTGTCACCTGGACATGCAAGTGCAGCAATGACTCCCAGACAGTATACCTTCACCACTGCAGCCATCTTATGTGGACTGAGCATAAAACAAGAGGCTCCTAGTTACATTTGTACTTCTGTTAGACATTGTGAAAACAAAGAGGCTTCAGTATCTCGGGTCAGTGAAAAGCACATGAAGATCTGAGTGTCCTTCACATATTGCAGTCCATTATGTGTGTAACCCATTGGGCACTATACATTATGTGTTTCCTCTGTTGCAGAGGATCAGAGTCTGGCCTCAGCTGCAAAACCTGGCTCTTTATCTCAAGCGGTAGAGACTCATGCTTTTAGCTCTGGAGGTCCCTTCTATCTGCAAAAATGCCGCCATCACACAAAATGCTTCACTATTTTCCTGAGCAAATGGAAACTTGTATTTAAGGACCCTATGGGAAGAAGACAGGTACTCGTTACCATTATTTGGCACCTCTGAGAGAACAATAAACACGGTAAAAGAGCTATTCCAGCCAGTCCAGTAAAGTCTCAGAGGTGAGTCAATAAAACGTCATGGTCAATGGTATCGAAGGTTGCTGATATTTCTAACAAAATCAACAAGGACATCAATGGCTACCAATAGAAAGAGACCATCAGCCATAGTTAACAAGATTCTTTCTATACCAAACTCACATGCAAAACATCAGACTGGAAGGGAACAAAGACATCTGGGAAATCAAGTTGCAACTGGAGCAGCTCCTACCAAACCTGCTCAATAAACTTGGCACTGTAAGATGTTATAATAGACTAAAAATGTAAACATGGGGCTTCACAAATATTCCCAACAACAAAAGGCACTAGGTAGGAATATGCAAGCCCACTTGATTATGCCCTGAAGATGCTGGAGGAGGCTATGCTTAGATTGCTGGCTCTATGGAGCAGGGATCATCTTTTCATTGTTTGTGTGAACAGTGCCTAATACAATAGGGCACAGATCCTGGCTGAGGGCTGTAGGCACTACTACTGCAATACAAGCCATACCAATTAACAATGGACCTTTAAGGAGCAGTACAACATTAAGTGTGGTTTCAGGAGTTTATTGGGTAAAGGGATTTTTGGGGTAGAAGATCACTGGGAACTGGTCAAGACTGGTTAATCTAGAGAAAGACCCACATTTTTGGATGCTTATCTGAAACAAACCAGAACTATGATCCATTGGAGAGTCATTCATCACTAATTTTCACTCTCATAACCCTGACTGTTTATATACAGCACGCATGCAGAAATAGCACTACTTATTTTGTCTAATTAAATAATTCACCACATAATACATTCCTACCTGGCATGTCCATATCGATGTGATGAGGAATCCATCATCTTTAAAGACATTGAAGATTTCAATGATCCCTCGGGAATAACCAAACACAGACACACTTGCGTCTGATACAGCCAGATTAAATGTAAGATAATCCGTGGGCTGCAGGACAGCTCTCTGCTTATAGAGTACAAAAATCACAATGCTGTTTCCAAACCAAGACATCCATCCTGAAAAATAAATTAAATTCCATGAAAGTCAAATTAAAAACAAACAACAACAAAAAATCAGGAAACAGCGTGATATATAAATGCATGATGCCCATATGTTGAAGGACAGTACAATGGCAGGTTATTTCATTAAAAACAAATAAACCCGAACATTTTTACTCCACTGTGTTGTGTACTAGGCCTCCTTGAGTACCCAGGTATATTTCACTTGTTAATTTCCTTCTTCTGAATAACACTGGTAATAAAACTGAATAGCAACAATGCACTTGTCCACCGAAGAACAACCATACACAGGTAAAGAAAAATTAAGTCTCTAATTAGATGGGATTCATGAAGCATTCCCAGTACAGAGACGAGAACCATTCTGCCAAACGCTACAGCTGTAGAGGCATGCCATATCCATCTGCCTGGTAATGGCTTGTAAAAGTGTGTGCAGACGACCACACAACAGCTTTGCCAGTCAGTTCTAGAGAACCACTGCCCTGTTCAGCTGGCGAGATGGAATTGCTTCTCATGGAACAGTCTGTGATCTCCTTGTGACCAAGGATACTGACTGGAATACTGTTCAGGAATGCACATTTTAATCCATTTGAAGATAATATTTTTAAGGCCTTGTGTCCTATCTTTCAACCTCAAATAAATGAACAAGCCCTCAGAAACTGGAAAGCCTTGTTTTCTGTTTAGATAGAATTGTGTGTCCCCTCTGATACTGAAGGTACGGTGATGTCTAGCAGCCATCAGTCTTGTTGGAAGAGAAGAGCATAAGGTAGGAAGGGAATTATGAATCTGGTGAAAAATCAGTCAGGCACTTGTGCACAGAGACGATGATATTTAAAGGTATATAGGCATTGCTCCACACAGTGTTGCAAGGCCTAAATCCCAGATTTTTAAATGTATTTAGGTGTCTATCTCCTGTGAGTCAGGTTCCTAAATACCTTTCAAAATCTGGCCTAAGTGACTTAGATGGCTAAGACTCATTTTCACTTAGGAACACTTAGGAGCGTATGTCCCATTGACTTTCAATATGACTTAGGCTCCTAAATGCCAAGCCATTTTTGAAAATTTAAGGACTTGTCTACATGGGGACATGGAGAAAAGTTAATTCTAATTAATTAAAGGTGTCAATTTGAAGCAGATTAGTTAAACCACATTAAATCCTTGTGTGGGTGCTATTAATCAGAATTAAATTTGTCTTAATTTGGTTTAGTTTAATTCACTTTGGAAGCAAATTAAATTAAACCAAATTAAGGCCACTTTAATTCTGAATGAAGCTCTTGAGGTTTAATGTGGTTTAAATTCACACCTTTAGTTAATTCAGATTAACTTTCCTGGATGTCCCCATGTAGATAAGCCCCAAATCACTTAGGCCCAGCTCCTCAAATGTATTTAGGCACCTAGTTCTCATTGGAATCAATGGGAGCTAGCTGCCTAGATACCTCTGAGCATCTGGATCTTAGGCTTTGCAACACTGAACAGTGCAATGGTTTTAAGTCTGGGCCAAAGGGCCTGATCCAAAGCCTATAGGACGTCAGCAGGAGTCTTTCCGTTGATTTCAATAGGCTTGTGGTCAGGTTCAAGGCACATGGGCACAAGTTACATGGAATGTCATTGACCTTGTGGAAAATAAAATAGGTTCTGTAAAGCAAGGGCTGCCATCTCAGAAACCTGGCTAGCACAGACAATTGCTATTCAAAACAGTCTTAAGGGTTAAAAACTTGAGAAACTGCCTACATAGACTCGAAAAGAGGATTTATCAAACCCTGCAACATTAGATTCAGCCTGCAGATGGGAACCATCTGTGTATTAGGAGGCTTAATGCTAAATGGAGCTCTGAAGAAATTTTTGGGCAGAGGGGCTGTAGAATATCCCTGAATAGTCTCACTAATCGCCCCCAAAGTGGGGAATCAATACATTAAGGTCATGAGGAGACAGACTATCTTCCTAAAGGCTTGTAGAAAGCTGTCTAGCTCTGCAGTGTTAATTATGAAATCTCACTAATGGCATGAACAATTTATAGTCAGGACAAGTTAACTTGGAAGGTACTCATGAGGCAAAAAAGATTTCCCATTACTTTAATCCAAAATGCTAACCAGCTTGGGCCATCAACCCATAAAGGGCAAAATTAACAAGTATCTTCTACAACAACACAGAATTCACCAGAACATTGGGCAGCTGAAGACAGGAGTGAGTCAATGGAATTACTTTGGATTTGCACAAGTTTAATAAGAGTAGAATTTGGCCCTTGATTTGGAACTAATTACTTCAGTATACATACAAATTGAGAATGTTTAAATGTTACAGAACAGAGGTTCCTGAACAGTGGTTCATAAAGTCATTATGCTAAAAGGCTGCCAAAGTACTGCAGAGGATGGGTGGGTTTTCCTTAAAATCTATTAATATGTAAATTTCATTTGCACACAGTGCATTTGCTGGGAATATACAGAACTACCTCTGTAGCACAGCGAATGAGGAGAATTTTCAATTAAAAGATAAGTTAAATGAGAGAGAGGAAGAGATCTGTTCCCATGGAGAAACACAGACCTTTCTCAGATTTGAAACTATAGAGAAATCTGGAGCATGATAGTGTGTGAGAGTGTAGTGGGGGTACTTTATAATAAATGCACTTCTTGGTGAGTGAAATTACAGAGCAACCTTGTGTATGGCACAGCCACAGGTGGAGGGAGTTGATTTTACAGAAGCAAGCGGACAAGCTTTCTCTGCTGTGTCGAACACTTGAGATGTGTGAAGTGGCTTGCAATTTGAATGTGTTAATGTACAGAGCAACAAACTGAGAGGAAGTTATTCTAATTACATCAAATTCTAAGGCAAGCAGTGGCACCCTCATAAAAATACTCCAGAAACAAGCGCCATCTGGTGTTTTTGCATATAACAGCAAAGAATTCCCGCTACCGAGGATCTGTTAAAAATTTATACATTTCCAGGCCATTAAGCATGCAACACTGAACCCTGTATCATCACTGATGTGTCTTATTAAAGTCACTGACTATAATGCACATAAACCAATAAAAATAGTTTAGTTTACAAAACAATTTAGAAGATGGATCAATAAAGGACAAAATGCAATATAGAAGAGCAAGGGCTTCACCATCAGTGACATTGGGGGGAATTCCCACCAGTTGCTTTGTAGATGGCATATGTATCAGGATAGATCACATTTGAGGAAAGAGCCTGGAAAGAAACATCTGGTATATGAACTACTGAGAGGTACTTGTATTCCCATGTGGTGTGTCAATAAAATAGTGGATAAAGGAGAACCAGTTGACATAATTTATTTCACCTTTCAAAAGGCCATTCACAAATGCCCTCACAAGAGGCTACTTAAAAAAACAGAGGAGTCCTGGAGTGAGGGGCAAAGCTCTGCAATAGATCAGAAACTGGTTAAGAGCGAGAAAATAAAGAGGAATCTGCCAGTAATCAATATAAATCGGAAGTTAGGAACTGTAGAAAATTGATATGAGAAGCAAAGTGACATAAGGAGAAATCTATGGCCAGTCTCTCAGGAGGATGTTAAACAGAGCTACTAAAGTTAGACATTTTTAAATCAGCAGGTTAAGATAGATTACATCCAAGAGTTTTAAAAGAGCTGGCTAAGGAGCTCACTGGACCATAAATGTTGATTTTCAATAAGTTTTGGAGCACTGGGGAAGTTCCAGAAGATTGGAAGAAAGCTAATGTTGTGTCAATTTTTTAAAAGGGTAAACACAATGACTCAGGAAATTATAGACCTGTCAACCTGACATTGATCCCAGGGATGATAATGGAGCAGCTGATATGGTACTTGATTAATAAAGAACTAAAGGAAGGTAAAATGTAATTCATGCAAATCAACATGGGTTTATGGAAATAGGTCCTGTTAAACTAAGATGACACCCTTTTTTGATGAGATTTCAAGTATGGTTGATAAAGGTAGTATTGATTTAATATACTTAGACTTCTATACAGAGTTTGATTTGGTACCATACAACATTTTGATTAAAAAACTAGAATGATATAAAATTAACAAGGCACACATTAAATGGATTAAAAACTTGCTAACTGATAGGTCTCAACATGTAACTGTAAATAGAGAATCATCTTTGAGCAGGTATGTTTCCAGTGAGGTCGCATAGGGCTCAGTTCTTGGCTCTATGCTATTTAATATTTGCATCAATGATCTAGAAGAAAATATGAAATCATCACTGATAAAGTTTTCAGATGACAAAAAATTGGGGAACTGGTAAATAATAAAGAGGACAGATCACTGATTCAAAGCACTCAGATTTCCTGGAAAACTAGGCACAAGCAAACAACATGTGTTTTAATATGGCTAAATGTAAATGTAGGAACAAACAACGTATGCCATATGTACAGGATAGCGGTCTCCATCCTGGATAGCAGTGACTCTGAAAAAGATTGTTTGCCAGAGGCTGGGAATGGGTGACAGAGGATGGATCTCTTGATGATTACCTGTTCTGTTCATTCCCTCTGAAGCACCTGTCTGAAGCTGGATCATTGATTTGACCCAGTATGGCTGTTCTTATGTTCTTATATGGGGGGCGTGGTGGATAATCATCAAACCATGAGTTCCCAGTGTGACATGGGATGCATAAACATGGGTCTCAAGTAGGAGTAGAGGTTATTTTACCTCTATATTTTGCACTGGTTCAAACACTGCTGCAATACGATGTCCATTTCTGGTGCCCACAATTTAAGAAGGATGTTGATAAATTGCAGAGGGTTCAGAGAAGATCCACGAGAATGATTAAAGAATTAGAAAACATGCCTTATAGTGATAGATTCAAAGAGCTCAATCTATTTGGCTTAACAAAGAGAAGGTTAAGGGGTGACTTGATTACCATCTACAAGTATCTACATGGGGAACAAATATTTAATAATGGATTCTTCAGTCTAGCAGAGACTGGTATAACACAATCCAATGGCTGGTAGCTGAAGCTAGACAAATTAAACTGAGATTGGATGCTTGAGATTTATGCTTTAGA